CCCACTGCTTTAAAAATGAAGCTCAGAGACTCCTTCACATGGCCCACAAGGCCCTGCAGGGTCTGGCTTCTGCCCACCCTCTCTTTTCTTTCTCCCCCACTCTGCTCACTGACCATCATACCTGTCATGCTCCCCCCACAGGGTCTTTGCATCTGCTGACCCTACATATGGAATCTTCTTCCCTCTCTTCCTTTCTTCCTAGTAAAAGAATTTAATCTTTTTAAAAGAAGCCATTGAAATTTTAGAAGAAAATTAATTTAATACCGACCTCTGGTTCCAGTGCTCAAAACCTGCCACTGTGGCTGGTGAACTGGTTCTCCCCTCCTGTTCATCAGCCTTCTCCAAGCTGTGGGTCCACAGCGCCCTCTGGTGGGCTCTGGGTGACGGCACCAGCAGGCAGCTTCCGCTCATGGTCACTGGCAGTCCCATGCCAAGTCTCAACCACAGAACCACAGGTGGAGTTGGAAGCATCATCCAAAAACTTCCCATTTTATGGCAGAAAACTGAGGCCTGGATAGGGGGCAGCATTTGCCTGAGACCTTACAGTCCGTTGCAGGGCCAGGCCAGCCAGTGCTCTTTCTACCACACGGTATTACACACATCTAATATTCAAAGCATCACAGTGTTTTGGTAGGTAGAAATTTGTGGCTGATGGGTGAGCATCAGAAATGAACTATTTCATGTTGCTCTACCCTCCCGAAATCTTCAGTTCCTGGCTGTGGTCTGTAGGACCCTTTGTGGGCTACTCCACCTAAACTTGGGAACTCACCTCCTTCTGTGCCTCCAACATGGGAACTCTTTTCTGCCTCAGGGCCTTTGCACTAGCTGTTCCCTTTGCCCAGAACTCTCCTCCCCAAACTGCCTCTTGGCTCACACCTCTCATGTCTTCTAGCTCTCACAGAGAGGCACTCTCTCACCGGCCAACCTAATGTTGATCCCCACTCCAGTCTCTCAAACATCTTGTTTCGTATCCTTCATCACCCTGTTCACATCTAGAATCATCTTGGTTAGTTGTTGGAGGTCTGCTTTCTTCTCTAGAACGATGGCTGTTGGGAACTTGTTCAGTATCCTGGGTACTGAGCAGACACTCCCTGAATACGTGGGGAATGATGGGGTGGAAGTTGGCGTGTGACAAGAACAAGGCAGACAGCATGTTACAGAAAGTCTGGCGGTTTATTCAACAAGTCACAATCACAATTGTACACGGTAAGTCAGTTCTTCATAAAGGCTCACTTTTCCAGGCAGGAGAAGAGAGGTTGGTGGTCTTGAGCTTTCTGTATGGAATACCCAGTCTGCCATCTCAATATTCCCTGCCTGTAGTCCCTTTGGGATCCCAGTCTTCAAGCCAAAAATGGGGCAGAAGCCCAACCCTGTTATCTGACACGGCAGAATCGAAGCCATGTGGGGAGCAGGTGTTAAGAGGGCCTTGTCACTGGGGATGTAGGTCCAACTCTGGCAGTGCACCTTGGCTCAAGATCAAGTTTGGACTGAAATATGACTTGGATTTTCACAAAGAGAAAGTGGAAAAGAATTCCAGAATAGGACTGCACTCCTTGCCCCTCTCCCACACTTAAAAATCTTCAGAAAACATTAAAAATGCACTGCCTCCCAGGAATTATAAAAGATCACCCAACCTGTACAAACCAGGATTGCTGAAGCAAGGAATCCAGGTTTCTCAGTTACTACCGTAAAGTGCTTTGCCACTCTTTTGAGACTCCAGAGACAGGAAAATGAAGACGCACGGAAAGAAACATGGAGTCATTTTAAAGGGTACCATCTCTTTCTTCAGGAGAAAAAGAAATTCAACAGGTAGGTTTGCAAAGTGAAGATAATGTGGACTTTGGGGATCCGCTGCATCAGCAGCGAGAGGTGCTCTTTCTCCCTTAGGCCTGTGGGAGTTCCCCTCTCTGCCTCTGAACTAGTTCTTCCTCAAGGGGAGGATGGCTAGTTCTCGGATGGTTTTCAAAGTTGAAACCACCAGGCAGAGGCACACAGTGGGATGGCTTTTTACACATGTGCCTGCACACTTGGCCACCTCCCGAGGCCTTGTATTTCTAGCAAAGATGCTCTCTGCATTGCAAAATGCTTCTGGAGGCCCCCTGTGGAAAGGCAGCTGGTGGGCCCCATGGTCATGATACTTTCCAGCCACACCGTTTTGTGACCGTCTGCCAGAATAGAAAGAGGACAAGGGGCCCACACCGTCACCCATTACCCAGATGAGAGCACCCCCCAGACTCCTGGCTGCTTTACTGAGCAACAGGGGGCAGTGTGAGCAGGAACTGCAATCTTTGAGACAGGTCGTTTTCAAAAATGAGGCCAAAACAATGAGTGGTCAGTATTTGTTATCCGTCTGATGGTCAGCTAAGCCATGAACTTCTCTCTTTCCTTCCCCTATTACACACTCTGGCCAGTCCCAGCACCTCTGGATAAGGGCTCAGCAAGACCTGCTCAGGGGAACTACCCCTCCCTTGCTGAGGGGGTCAAGCCAGACTTGAAAGGAGAACCAAAGGCTGGGAAAGAGGAAGGTTGTGGCCCGCTTGCTGCTCCTGCTGTCCACATGGGTCCTGGTCTTGCCAAGGACACAGCCACCCGCTTGGAAGGGGACCACTTGGGAATCTAGCGAGTGCTCAGCACTCTGTCTGCAGGCTGGGATGGGGGGACTACAGGCATGGCCTCCAAACACGGCCCTCTCCCTGGGGCTGCTGAGGCCCTTCCAGGCCATGGACTAAGCGAGTTGTCCAGCTGCTCTTTTAATTTGGAGTGTTTCTTCCACGAATTGGAACAACTCTCGCCTCTGGCCCTCGAGGGACTTCTCCGTCTCAGATCCTGCTCTAGGCCCAACGTCTCCTGCTTGAAACTAGAAGTTCAGAAACACACACTCATCCAATAGAAACAGCACACACCACCACCAATGTTTCCCCTCCCCCCAACCCTGCCCCTGGAGGTTTGTCTAGCAAGGCACTAGGAAATTGTTCAAGTTTAGGGATTTGCTGTACATTTGCATTTTCTCTTTTTAAAAGGCACAGTTTTTATTTTAATGATGATGCATTGCTTTCTGAGGATGACCCCTAATTCAGCTCTCCAAACTGCAACACTCCTGTTCTCCTAGATCCTGGAAGGGGCCTCCTCTTCAGACTCCTTCCTACCGAGGACCACTATGAAAGATAGAGCACTCATCTGGAAAAGACATGAGGGATCAACAAGCAAGCTTCCTCGAGCACAGAGGCCATGTCGACAGGTGGCCAGGACGGGGCTTGTGCGGGGGCAGAAGTGGAGGACGTGATGCTTTGCCAGCTCTATGCTTAATCGGGGTGGTGGTGGTGGTTGGGAGTTTATCCCCCCACCCCCCAGATAAATGATGGCCTTGAGATCAGCCAGCATCTCAAAGGCAGATTCGTGGCTCTGAGATTTATGTTGCATTTAATTGCTAAATGACACAATCGAGAGATCCAACTCTAATTGGAATACTGATTTCCAGTATTTCCCGGACTAGCTGGTGGAAGCCATCGGCTGTGGCATGCGATTTCCATCTCTGAATCAGTGGGTGGCAGGCTAGTTACAGCAATGATTCCTATTATAGTTTGGGAGCCCTCTGGGAGTCTGACACGTAATTAACAAAGCAAAAGGTAAACACGAGGGACTGGCATGGAGCTGGGTGTACACCTGCTTGTGGGGTGCTTTACTCCACTGCAACTGGGAGGGTGGGGGAAGGTTGCAGGGCTTCGGGACTGCACTGAGGACCATGTCATGCCAAGGTCTCCAGTGCGAGCTGACAGACACAGGTCACCGCCCCCCCCTCCCCTGACACCATCAACCTCGGATTTCAAAGATTGTCTCAGGCTGGGGGGCTGCCTTGGCTGTACTACACTTGGCTGGCTCTTTTAAATCACAATATTCCAGAAATTCATACTGGGTGCTAGAATACCAGAATCCCAGGTAGCATTCTAGGTTGTGATCCAATCATAGAGTTCTTGAAAAATTCTAGAGTTCTATATGAGAACTAGAGCCATGATGAGGTCAGAGGCGGGCATCTTGCCCACGGTCCACCCTGGAGGCTTCCAGATGTTTTGAGGTAAGCCCCTCACACGTCTGCTCCTCTCTTAGGGCAGGTAATTGCCCAAGACAGAAAGAGGAAAACGGAAGCATGGCTCAGGGGAATTCCGCCAGCACATCTAGTTTGGGGGTCTTCTAATGAGGCCCTTTCCACGGGCCCGAGGCCAGGTGAAACATAGCTCTGAGTAGCTGGTGGCTGAGCTGTCCTGTGCCTGCAGAGCACTACGTGGACATTTCCAGTGCCCAGAGAGCAAGGAGAGACATCCCATGCGTCCGTGGCAGCAAAGGAATGTCTGGGGGTCCCACTTCTGACCCCAGGCCTGGCAGTTGGCCAGCGCTCAGTATTGAACACCACGAGGGTCCAGGTGAGGCCTTCCATCACATCAGCTGGGGCTGTGACAGAGCACGGAAGCTGGGCGGTGACTGCAGTTAGCCCACGACAGGCAGACACTGAACGACTGGCACCAGTGACCCCGAGACCTTCCCCCCGGCCTTCTGGTGCAGATGAGGGCACTGCTGCTACAAGCTGCCCACACAGGCAAACGTTGCCCTTTTCCTAGAGGACCGTCATGTATGAGCCATCTGAAGGCTAGGCAACCTTGTGGGACCCGTTTTGGGGTGGCCTAGGGCTGCCCTGGCATTCCTCCCACATGACGCTCAAGGGACCGCGGGGACAAAGTTGAAAAGGCCCTCCTGGATTTCCATGATGCCATTGGGGGTTAAAGCAGGCACTGCTCTCTGTGGGGCCTCTTGTGGGGTCTGTTCTCCACCCCACCTCCAGCCCTGGGCTTCAGGGAGTAGGTGGACACGCTGCTCCTGCTTTAAGAGCCCTGCGTGCCCTGGACCAGCGGGCCAGCACCTCTCACATCACGGTGCCCACAGAAGCCCTGCCTCCCTCGTAGAGGACATCTGCGGCGGGGCCAGGCCTGCTGAGGACACGTGAGGGCTCAGTTCCGGTTGAATTTTTCCAAGACTGTCGAGTTGGTGTGTTCGAACAGCCACTGCTGGGTGAGAGAAGAGGGGTTACAGGTGTTCATGAAGATCCGGTGGTCACTCTCACTGCAGTCCATGCAACTGCCGCTGACCGGGTGGTACAGGGTCTTGTCCTAGAAAACAGGGAGGCAATCAGCCGGGCGGCGCTGGGGATACGCCCAACAGCAGCACCAGTACCGGCAATGCGGCCCTGAGTGAGCGCGAGGCAGGGTTCCCTGCTCCGGTGGGATGCGGGCGGAAGTGACGCGCCACTTCCGGCCCGCGCCCTATGCATGCTTGGCTCCCGCCAAATTTCACTGGTTCTCATGGTGTCTTTTGTTTTGTTTTATAATGGACTCAGTTGCCAACATTTAAGATCCTAGAGGTTTCACACAAAAATCTTGGATTTCTGGCTGCTCGCGAATGACTGAGAAGTCGGGCATGGCGGGTCTGTGGAACAAATGCGTGAGTGAGTGGGCTGGGGGGGGGAAGGAGGGAGGCACAGCGGCGTGTTTATCCGCTTGTCTTTTTCTAAATCAAGCCGGTTGCCCTGTCCCGCCCACGCCAACTGCCTTACTTGGCGGTACTTCCACAGCTGGTTGCCCTTCATGCTGTGGCAGTCATAGAGGGTGACTGGGCTGGTGTGGGAGATGGCGTCAAAGCAGAACTTCTTGGTGTGCTGGGGGTCTCCGGGCCGGATGTCCTCTCTCCAGGTGAAGGTGAACACCTGTGCATACAGGGACATTGTCACGGGGACAGCCAAACCAGGGGACTTTCTCCTTTTTGGAGTGATAGTTAAACATAGAGATCCAGAAAACACTATTGACCACACGTGTTCCAATCACCCAGCTTCAACAGTTCCCAACTTGCGGTGGATCTTGTTCCAGCTTTACCCCCATCACGAACCCCCACCCCCACATTATTCTGAAGCAAATTAGAGACCTCACATCATATCAGGTGTAAAGACTTCACGAAAGTGCCATTATAGCAATAAAAAGTTACTACGAAGTCCTTAGTGTCATCAGGTAGCTCCTCAATGTCATCAGGTAGCTAGAGTTCAAGTGCTCTTGCCGTGTAAGTTTCTTTTCATAGTTTGAATCAGGATCGAGACCAGGTTCACATACTGCATTTGGCTGAGAAGGTTTTTTGTTTGTTTTTTCCAGCAGCTTCATTGAAGACTAACTGGCGTACAATAGACTGCACACATTGGAAGTGCACAATTTGATATATCTGACTTGTTTACAGCTGTGAAACCACCACCATCATCAAGGTCATGAATATATCTATCACCCCAAAAGTATCCTCACATCCCCTATGGTCTCTTCCTCCTGTCCCTCCTCATTCCCCATGCCTCTGGGCAACCACTCCTCTGTTTTCCATCACTAGAGATTAGTTTGCAAGTTCTAGAATTTTAAATAAAAGGAATCCTACAGTATGTATTTTTTTTGTCTGATTTTTTTCCACTCAACATCATTTTGTTAGGACAGCATTTATCAATAGTCCGTTCCTTGCCATTGCTAAGTAGTATTTCACTGCAACGTACTCCTTTTACCTGTTCTTAGACATTTGGATGGCTCTCAGTTTTTGGTTATTACAAATACAGCAGCTAAGAACATTTGTGTACAAGTCATTGTATAGACATATACCTTCTTTTCCTTAGACAAATAGCTCAGAGTGGTATGGCTGGATCATACGATAGATGAATGTTTAAGAAATTGCCAAACTTTTCCAAAGTGCTTGTACCATTTACATTCCGATCAGCAGTGTATTCTTCCAGTTCCCCTACATTCTTGCCAACCTTTGGTGTGGTCAGTCTTCTGAATTTTAATTTCCATTTTTCCAACAGAGTTAAGCATTTTTAATGTGTTTATTTGCCACTAATTATACCTTCTTTGCTAAAGTGTCTGTACAAATCTTTTGCCCATTTTTTTAAAAAGGATTTATTTATTTGACAGAGACACAGTGAGAGCAGGAACACAAGCAGGGGGAATGGGAGAGGGAGAAGCAGGCCTCCCGCTGAGCAGGGCTGGCTTGATCCCAGGACCCTGGGTTCAGGACCTGAGCCAAAGGCAGACGCTTAACGACTGAGCCACCCAGGCGCCCTGCCCATTTTTAAATTGGATTGTTTTCTTATTATTGAGTTTGAGAGTTTTATATATTTTGGATCCAAGTCCTTTATCAGATACAGTTTTTGTAGACATTTCCTCCCAGTCTGTGGCTTGCCTATTTTCTCAACAGTGTCTTTTAAAGAACAGAAGTTTTTTTTTTTTTTTTTTTTAAAGAGTCCAATTTATCAGTGTTTTTCTTTTATGGATTGTGCTTTTGGTGTTTTATCTAAGAAATCATTGCTTTATCCCAGGTCACAAACAGTTTTGCCTACGTTTTCTTCTGAAAGGTTTTAGGTTTTAAGTCAATACACCATTTTAAGTTAATTTTTCGCATATAATATAAGGTATGTATTGAACAATTTTTGGGGGCATATGGATATCCAATTGTTCCAGCACCACTGGTCGGAAAAGACTATCTTTTCTCCACCAAACTGCCTTTCAACACTGGCAAAAACTGATTGCCCATATACATGTGGGTCTATTTTTGGTCTCTTGATTCTGTTCCATTGATCTTTATGTCAGTACCACACTGTCTTGAATGCTGAGAGTTTATAATGTATCTTGAAACCAGGCAGTGTGCATCCTTTAACTCTGGACTTCTTTTTGCAAGTTCTTTTGGCTATTCTAGGTCCTGTCCATTTCTGTGTGAATTTTACAATCAGCTGTTCAATTTCTGTAAGAAAAGCCTGCTAAGATGTTAGGATTGTGATGAATTTACATAGTGGTCTGGAAAGAACTGACACCAATGCTGAGTCTTCCAATCTCTGGACATGGCACAGATCTCCACTTACTTAGGACTTCTCTCATGTCTACCAAAAATGGTTTGTAGTTTTCAGTATATAGGTCTTTTGTCAGTGACAGACCTGAGGATTATATTTTTTGGGGGTTATAATAAGTGCTTGTTTTTAATTTTAATTTCTGATTCTTCATTATTCATATATAGAAATACAGTTGATTTTTGTATCTTAGAACTTTGATAAGTTCGTTTATTAGTTCTGGTAGTTTCTCTGTAGACTCAGTTGAATTTTCCACAAAGATGATCATAGAGTCTTCAAATAAAGATTGTTTTCCTTCTTTGCCCACCTGCAGGACTTTTCTTTTTCTTGCTACAGGTTAGAACCTTTAGTACAGTGTCAAATAGAAATGGTAAGGTCGGAATCCCTGTCTTGTTCCTGATCTCAGGGGTAAAGCATTCAGACTTTCACCATTAAGTATGATGTTAGCTGCAGGCTTTTTATAGATGACCTTGATCAAGTGGAGGAAGTTTCCTTTTATTCCTGGTTTGCTGAGAGTTTTTATCAGGAATGAATGTTGGATTTTGTCAAATGCTTTTTTTCTGGGTAAAGGTGATTATATGGGGGGGGCAGTGCCTGGGTCGCTCAGTCAGTTAAGCGTCTGCCTTTGGCTCAGGTCATGATCCCAGGGTCCTGGGATCGAGTCCTGCATTGGGCTCCTTGCTCAGCGGGGAGTCTGCTTCTCCCAATTGTGCTCTTCCCCTGCTAGTGCTCGCTCTCACACACTCTTTCTCAAATAAATAAATAAAATCTTTTAAAAAAGGTGATTATATGGTCTTTCTTTTTCAATTTGTTAACATGGTGAACCTATTGATTAATTTTCTAATATTAAACTCACCATCCATTCCTGGGATAAATTAAACTTAGCCATAATGGATTATCCTTTTTATGGATTTTTCTTTGAGAGAAGGTTTTCAACTGCAATGTCAGTCTCTTGAATAGAATTCTGTTGTTTTCCAGTCAGGCTGGTGAGAGTGGGCACCATCCCTGGCCCTGTGTGAGCACTGGGTATGGCTCCCTCTCATCCTCTCAGGATTTTTCCAGCCCAGGAAGCTCCCTCACACCCGTGCATGGATCAGTACTCTACCAAATGTACCAGGGGGACTCAGTAAATCCCACAAGTTCTCTCTGTGTCTGGCGCTCTCCTCACTTGTATTCTATTTTGTGAATTCTAGCCACATTGGTCTCCAACACTGTCAGCTCTGTCTCCCCAGCTTGGGAGTCTGCTTGGCTTCCCTGGGTCCTCCTCCTTGACCTGTGGCCTGGAGACTCTCTCAAGGAAGGACTGGGACAGCGTAGGGCTTACCTTGTTTGCTTGCTATCCCTCAAGGATTACTGTCCTCCACTGGTTGATTCTGCTCTCTTGAAAACAGTTTTCTACATATTTTGTCGGTTTTTCAGTTGTTTCTGGCAGGAGGGTAAGTCTAGTCCTCATTACTCCACTCCGTCTTGGCCAGAAGCAGACATGATGGTGACCAAGGAGTGGTACTGGCAGCTCCTGTCTCCTGATGGTTTGTTCCCCAGGCCTCTGTAACTTAGGGGCTGCATTTTAGATTCACATTTCTCCCATTTACAGGCTCACTACAGCTCTCTGCTTAGGGTGGTTGAGAGCCCTGGGGGATCTAGATCCCATTGGGGCAACTGGGCTGCCATGCTTCCCATTTCAGATGGGGGAGGCTGGCACAGCCACGCACCCAGGCGCCATTTTGTTGCTTGTTTGAGGGAATCCTCAGGCATTTAATGTGGACTCTCTGCCACACAGTGAGGCTCTTCTAGGCTGAGCAACTTGGGCACATTCTATCCAGACCCTGTGCTGTTCCTGGTCTCTCTTAGGGTCCTACGGTGGGGTGGGTGTGGGGAGCAGTCACATGCTTCCTTGGAGAACTCAGGAGAATCGGTGAAGGAGAGCCACTTCTAATAAGAATTGTTATCAAGAAAGGAGGGGGGAGAGCAACAAGGATTTCTGAGGGAGGAGCAGACACTGCCAGGCTAGGCACTGTGCCCATTGGAGAGGCGGTGCTCTTCCTTCTCAGCACGCATGCCACGGACCCCTCCTGAGTTCTGTTTTTGCGGAGGACCCACAATGTAGGCTTCTATCCGTGTGCACTTCCAAAATGCCAAAAACCTATAGTAAGGAGACTATAAAAATGTACCCTTGAACCAAGATTCAGTGGATGTGGTGTGGTTTGGGGGTTATTGCTTAGAGGAGGGTACCACGGAAAGCTAAATGCAGTTTCTTCAGAGTGGTGCCTTTTCCTGCACTGCTGGCTTGCACTCTTCATTCTTCGGATAACACCCCTAGGGCATGATCTCCTGGGGAAGCCACCCTCTCCACTCTTCTCCCCATCCTTCAGTGAGGCTGAGCACACCCCGGGCTCCAGGAGTGGGCATGTGACCTGGGCCTAATCAATAAGAGGACTCTATCACATCCCTTTTGCAACAGGCTCAGGAAAGCCAATATGTGAGTGCCACAGGGCTTTTCTAGAACTCTGGAAAGGGACCTGCCTTTTCACGGAGGGATTGGAAGCCTTTGTTGCTGGCGGTCCCATCTGCCACCACATGGGAAGAGCCTGGTGAAGGACGAAGCCCACAGAGAGGAGGCAGAGTTGAGACCCTGGAGGGATCCCATTGAACATCATTTAAGCTTTACAGCAACATGAGCCAGTATGTTCTCCTTTTTGTTGAAGGCCATTTAGGCTGAGTGTCTGTCATGTGCAACTAACAGACCAAATTGGTGATTTCATTGCAATGTGAAGGATTCCTCTTTCTAAGGTGTTCAGGAAGCTCTTATAACTCATCCCCTGGGCTAACTTTTGTCAGTCATCATTGACCCGTGGCCTCTCTCTCCCAGCCCTGACCGTGTGAGCATTCCAGGCTGCATAAGACACAGGGGAGCTGGCTGCCGGTCCCTGAGGAGTGGCCCTTACCTGCATGTTGTTCCAGGCAGCCTCCCCGCGGCCCCGGACGCAGCTCTCCAGCCTCAGCGGGGAGCCCAGGGCCCCATGTTTCGTGTCGGCACACAGCCCTGTGCCCACATTGTGGATCTGAAAGAGACAGAAGGGAAGAAGGGACCAGTGAGCACCTTGAGATATCCCCCTGGGACCATGCTGGGGTGGGAGGAGGGAACCCAACAGAGACATCAGATGGGGAAAGCTCTGCATGGTCTTAAAAAAGCTTGGCCTGGGCTGGGGGAAGTGCTCTGTGCCTCTCAATAAAGGAATACTCAGTCCACAGAGAAGAACTCTTCCAGAGCCTACTTTGTCTTAGAGCATGCAGAGTCACAGGGTGCTGGGGGTGGTGGGAGGCCTAAAGCTGTGGGGGGCTGGTATTCAAAGGACCCCCTAGCTCCCCTCCCAGAGAATTTGATCCACTAGGTCCAGGAATTGAATTTTATTTCCATTCCAAGTGATCCAGGGACCATACCTTGAAAACCACTCTAGAAAAGGACATGACATCTTTGCTGTAGGGTCTTGGACTCTCTGCCTTCTAGAGCAGGTGAATGGCAAAAGGTTCTCAATCCCAAGAACAAGAGGAGTTGCAGTGAGACAGGTGTGGTGTGGTGGGAGAAGCACCAGGCTGGGAGCCGAAGGCCTAGCTGCTCCCAGTTAGCCAGCATCACTAGCTGATGGCCACCGTGAAGGTGCCATATCCTGGAGTTCCTGCCACATCATGGAGTTCCTGCCTCATAGAAGCACTTGATTTTGACAGAGTGTTTGGAGGTGTGGTGGTCGTGAGTTATCCTGTGGTGGCCACCCAGTTATCCTGTTGCAGGGAGTCTGACTGCCCAGCGGCTGTGTTCTGAACCCACTGTGTCTGAGTGGAGGCCATGCTCCCCGTGCGCTGCTTCCAGCCGGCATCTGAGGGTGGCAGGGGCCCTGCAGCAGGCCTGTTCCTGGGAGATGCCAGACTCCTCTGATCTGGCTTAGTTACTTGGCTCAAGCTTCCTCAGAGCATCTTTGCAGTGTGGGACTCCTCCTACCCCAGCTCTTCTCCCTCCCCTCTCCCCCTCCCAGAGGGCAGACCAGCCCCACAGGGAATCTCCCAGCCTCTCCTGGCTCCCTTCTTATTTCTTCTCTCACGTGTTCCCCCAACAAGTCTTTTGGTGTCTGTTTCTCAGAGAACTGGACCTAATACAGGGGAGAAAGCCCATAAAATGGCAAAGAAATGAAGAGCTTCATGAGGGAGGTCAACATGACACGTGCTTGTGCAGGTGTTGGGTAGGGCTGGCCAGACAGCTTAGTTAGTTAAGGTCCCTCTGACTTGCTGTGTGAAGTTGAACAAGTCATACCTGCTGTTTCTGCTGGCCCAAATGCATCTGTCCTTCCTCTGGTAACAACACCCTGATTTTCTTCCCTTTTTTCTTTTTTTTTTAAAGATTTTATTTATTTGACAGAGAGAGAGACAGCGAGAGAGGGAACACAAGCAGGGGGAGTGGGAGAGGGAGAAGCAGGCTTCCTGCTGAGCAGGGAGCCCAATGTGGGGCTCGATCCCAGGACCCTGGGACCATGACCTGAACCGAAGGCAGATGCTTAACGACTGAGCCACCCAGGCACCCAACACCCTGATTTTCTATGGGACTACCACTCCTTGTCCACCCTGTGGCCTGTCAGAGTATCTGTCCCACCCCTCCTTGTCCTGTGGATTGCTGCAGACCCAAGAATAAGACCTTTGCTGGCTTTACTGGGAAGGAAGCATATACTTCCTGCTGACTGGCCAAGCTGACGGTTTGTCAACCATCTTGCTACCCTCAGCATGAGGCTAACACAAAAGGAAGCAGAGGTAAACAGGAAAAAAAGAAACTGACATCATCTGAGTCCCTGGATCCAGGTGTGTCCGAAGCAAGAGCTACCCAAAATTTCTATGAGAATTAATACATTTCTCTTTTCACTTTAAATTGGACTTCTGTCGCCTACAAGTAAAGGAGATCCAACTCTTATGCTCATTGTCCCCAAGCCTCAATATTATCCATCTATAAGGGAGTGGGTCCTCTCAGCTCAGAGACCCAGGATCCAGAATCTGGTGACGGAGTGCTTCTCCCCCTGGAAGACGGCCTGTGTCCCCCAGCAGGACTGGCTTCATGAGTGTATGACACGGGCAGTGGCCCAGAGCCCCTCAGCCAGAAGGGCCTGCCATTGGCATAAAGTTCTGCTATCACTGCCTTAAATTTTTTTTTAAAGATTTATTTATTTGTTTCAGAGAGCGGGGTACAGAGCGAGAGCGAGAATCTCAAGCACACTACCCGCTGAGCACAGAGCCCAACTCGGGGCTCCATCCCACAACCCCGAGATCACGACCTGAGCCAAAGCCCAGAGTCAGACGCTCAACCGACTGAGCCACCCAGGCGTCCCATCATTGTTTGATTTTTAGTAATTTGATTTTTGAATTTGTAAGTGAAATCTGATAGGACAACGGAGCATGAGTGTAAGCAGAGCTGATGACACACTACACGTACATCCGCTATACCTTTCTTCTGTGTTTGCATACAGCATCTGTGATGCCCCACAAGCACAGCTTCCTGGGGGTCCCACATGCGCGGGAGTTTGGCAAGACTCAAGTTACGGCTATGACTAAGTGGGGTGCTGGCAGGTCTGAAGGCCACCCTTTCCTTTCCAACCAGGACTAGACTGCGCAAAGGAGGGCCACGGCATTCTGGGCCGATGAGCTCTAGCGTATCCTCTTACTTGTGTTACTGCCCTGGACCAGCCACAGCTCCCCTCAACAGCAGCAGATAACCGCACAGAAGGAAGAATAGGATAGCCCATAGTTCGCTTGCCTTCCATCCTTCCTCACTCATCAGCAAGCTGCAGGGAGAGCGTCTTGGTAAAAAGTACGCATTATCAACAAGTGAAATAAGATCAGCTGAGTCAGTTCTGTGCAGGGTTTGCACTGTTCTGGTAAGAAATACATATGCATGCACAAGGGTTGAAATACAGATTGTGAAATTTCACCCATCTGGCACATGAGTTTAATGCTCTTCTGTTTGCATTTAAAACTGGCACTGCAGAATATGAAGATGAATGGTAAGATTTCTGCTAATAATTTGAGGTTTTAATTTTTCCCTACTTAGAACATTAAATAGCAAATAAAAAAAAACCCCACCACCACAAGGCTAGAATCAGGAGAGCTGCAACTGCATTTTGCACTGGGCCCCACTTTTGTAGCCGCCCGGGCCCTCCGCACTCACCTCCCCCCAAGCTGCGGCGGGGGGCTCCACGGGCGGGTAGAATTTGGGCAGGTCCCAGGCAATCTTGGTCATAAACCACTTGAAACTCTTGCAGTTAAGGGAGCTGCGCAGCTTCTTCTGGGCGGCGACGTCCCCAGCAGAGAGGTGGCGGTACTCGGGCCGGCGCTGGTAAATGTGCTCGGCATACTCGTCCATCCACACTTCCGCCACTCGCTTCAGGTTCTGGAGGGCGACAGGCAGGTGGAAGGGTCAGGCCCTCTGAGGGGCCGAGGCCAGGGAGTGTGTGTGGGGGGGAGCGAGGGTTCTGGAAGTTGAGGTTAATCCTTCTTTATTTTATGTTGCATCAAAGACCCTAGCCCCACCGTGTTTTTAAAGCCTTCTATACTTACTTATGCATGGTTTTAGGACTCTACAACTACTGGCTGAATAAAAGATGGTTGGTGTTTTACCCGCCCATCTTCCACCCCCTTTTTCTGTCTCCTCTACCTCACTGTACTCTCAGGTGGCGTCGGGAAAAGGTACAGGAACCGCCTGATGAACGGGAACAGGCACGGGCATAGGGATTGGCCAGCAGCGAGCACGTAACCCAAGCCGAGCCAATCAGAATCAAGAGGTGTCAGCCTTGGCAATTTTACTGGAGCTATAGGGAAGAATTGCTCTGTTTCTGCTTGGATTGCTGGGTAAGATCTGATGCGTGAGATGGAGGCCGGAGCTGCTGGGCCATAGGGAAACCCTGACCAACGGTGAATGAATGAAGCAGAGCTGAGGCCTAGACGAGGAACACACTCCTCCTTTTAGTACCTGAACCCGGCCGTGCCTGAAGTGAGCACTATCCCGTGACCTTCCGTTCAGTGAAGTTGGTAAATTCCCTTTCTGCTTAGGCCAATGTGAGTTGGGTTTCTGTCATTTTCTACTGAGTGCTGACCAAGTTGCCTGGTGAAAACAAATGATAATTTGCAACCAAAAGGTTGCAGCAGCTGGAATTTTAAATAATCCTTTGAGGTGCAAAAGTTGCTGCTACTTTTGTTATGAAACACAAGGATAATCAATAAAAAAAGGACAACCACATTATTGGCAAGTAGGGGCAGCAGGCAGGAAAACCACCCGTTTGTGGGTAGTTTTGGAGATACAGGAAAAGTGAATTCTTCCATGTAACCAGGAGGAAGATTCCTCCCTCCATCTGTAGGTGTACATACCACCTGCTGAGGACCACAGACGCCTGGTCTGGAAGAGCACAGCTTCAGGGTTCAGGCGAAATTCTCTGTTCCAAAACATCTTCCTACAATCCCTGGCTGTTGTCAGAAATCTGCCCTTCAACTCAACATTCAACTCTCCCGGCTTTATCTCTATCGTAAAGGTCGCCCCCCCAACCCCCACTGCCGCCCCAGCCACCCCCACTGCAATCCAAATTTTCTTCTGAAGGGTAAAAGGGAGTTAGCATTTTAAGCTGTATCAGTCATTCACACCTCAGTGTAAATGACTGCTCCAGAAGCAGAAGGTAAGGCAGGGGTCGACAAGCATTTTTTGTAAAGGGTGAGATTGTAAATATTTGAGGCTTTGTGGACCATTTGGTCTCAACTCTGAGGTAGCTATAAAGGAGCGCGACACATTATGTAAATGAATGGGTGTGGTGGTATTCCAATAAAACTTTATGGACATTGAAATTTGATTTTCACGTATCACAAAATATTCTTCTTTCATCTTTTCACCCTATTTGAAAATGTAAAAGTCATCCTTAGCTCATGGGCCACACAAAGCAATTTGCTGACTCCTGAGCAAAGAGGAAGGAAGCCAGCAGGAGGGGGGGCTCCATGCCAAAGGCAAAATTCACCAACTCCTCCATTGTGCTGACTCTTGAGTTTGGGACAAGGAAACCGTGAAATTTCCTTGCCAATGACTCATTCTTTCTGAGCACTGAAGAGGTTGACAGTGGGTTAGAAGTAATTAAGGAACAGTGTTATACCTGCCAGGCTCCTACACGGCAAAGGCTGGGCTTAATTTAAAATTGTGCCCCAAGGAAGCTGAAAGCCTAAAAAAGCCTGCACACCTGAAGACTCTCCTTTTTCCAGTCTGCCCACCCAGGTCCTTTGGCACACTAATTTGCTCATGCCACAGGGATGCTGAGGAACTGCTACAGTTTTCTCTCCAACGACAGGCTAAAGTGGGCCAATCTGACCAAATTCACCAGTGCAATGATAAAAGGATCAAATCACACAATACTTTAATTGATCCTTAAATGACTATTTTAATGAATATTGCACTTTTTAGACATGCCTCTCCCAGATTTTGAACTTTTGTACAGTTGACTGTTTTGACCAAAGTAAAGGACTTTACATTTACTTCTATTACATCTCCCCTTGCTAGAGTCACACAAAGGACTCTGGGATTTTAGGAGGCTGCGTGCTCCTCTCATCCCTCCCCCGACACCTCCCTAGTTCCAGGTCCCAGTCCTGTTGGAAGCGCTCTGCTCTCCTTGTGCTTGCATTTACAGAGATTTGCCCAGATCCTTGGAATAAGAGGCCATTTTTTTTTTGGCGAGTTTGAATGGGTTTCTGTTACTTCTTTCTCTAAGATCCCTTTCCCAGGGGCAGAGACAAGAAGGATTTTTAATAAATTTAGTAAACAAACTAAGACTGGCCTTGTTCTTGAGGTGGGCGAGCTGCTGGTTAGCTCATCCCTCTTGAATTGCCACTTCACTGCTCTCTAGCTGTTTGTCCTGGAATCTGACAACTTAAGTAAGACTGAGGTTCTTCTCTTTATGTGGCTCTCTTAGGACTTTTAGACAACCTCTCCTCAAATCTATCAAAATGATCTTCTAGGAGATTATGTTCTAGAAGGATTTGGCTGTTAAAACAAGAAGCAAACATTTACAATATGACCTGCAACTCAATGAGGGTAGTTAGATACTATGATAAAAATTCAGGGGAGCTTGATTCAGTCATCTTTGTGGTCCTGTAAACCTACGTGGGGTGCCCCTCTGATTGTTAACTGGTTTAAAGTCACCAGGAGACTGATAAGATACAGACAATTGAAAAAGAAGTTAAAATGTTTAAACACAGAATTAAGAGAAGACATTGAAATAAACTTCCCAGTCTTGTTAATAGATGGTGACATTAACGCTAACAACAGCAACCACTGTTTAAGGGACAATTGCTCTGTGCCAGGCACTGGTCAGGCCTAAGTGGGTTTGAATTCTAGTTAGTTAATGTCTCCACATTTCCCTTTCCTCATCTCTCAGACAGGGATTAAAAGCATATGAGAATTAAGTTCGATAAATATGTAAGATGCTTTGCATGAAGTCTAGCTCACAGGAAGTTTTTATGTGTTACTACAGTTAGCTATTATCCATTGAATTCATCTGTGGTTCAATAAACAGGAGGTCGTGATGCGTTTTAACCAGGTGGGTCTTATAAATGACCAGAGAAGAAAAGGCTGCTTTGGAAATGATCCTGCTGAGGGGTCAGAGGTGTTCCCACGGTCCCACCACTCCCAGTAGCTGAGAGTCGCGTGCGCGCTCTTGGGCTTACTGAGCGATTTTGCGCTGTTTTCCTGTCTGGCGTCTTTCTTGGGGCTTGCCAACAGGAGCTCAGAAGAAACCTGATTCCTACCTCTCTTGCTGAGTCTAGAACCGGCCGCGCCCCCCGCGTCGGACGGGCTGTCCGAAGCGCCGAGGGCCGGTGCCTGGCTGTCGTTGGAAACTTCTACCACTAGAGGGCAGTGCTGGCTCTCTTTTTCTTCAACGCGGGCCCCAGAGCAGCTCCTGCCGCCTCCCGAGCTCAGCTCCCACCCACGGATGGAGCCCCGGCTTCCGCTGCCTGGTGGAGCCGCCCAGTCTTCGTGTAACTTGCAGGACCGGGGCTCTTCCTGACCCCGGGCCTACAGTTCTGCACGGCATCCACTGTCAGGTGATACAGGACGGGGAGGCGGCGGCTGGGCCGAAGGAGGCTGTCTGGACTGATGCCAAACAGGCTCCCACGGGGGGGTCTCTGTCGGGAGGGGTCTCCAGCAGGCACAGCTGTGCCGGTTACCTGGTTACCTTTCCAGCTTCCCACAAACCTCTCTGCGGCCCTCTTTACCTTCTGGGGCCCTCCCCCGCCCCATTTTTCTCTTGTGGTCACCTTGATTTTTTTTTTTCCTCAAGACACTTAATATTTTAAAATTTAAGGTTTAGGGGAAGATCATTAATACAAATAGCAAAACCAACCCCAAAACATGCCTCTGGCTAACAGAGTTCTGTGTGTAGCCAGTGGCCAATTTAATTCAAATAATGATTAATACAAACCATCTTAAGGTAATGAAATAGTTTGACACAGAGAATTTTTGGCAGTGTAAGTGGGGGAGGGGGCGGGGGGGGAGAGAAAGACACTGACATTTATTAGCCACCCTCCTGCCAGGAACTTTTAAGTGCCTTGCCTCAGGCTTTCCCCAACACACCGCTCCACTTGTATTAATATTTATCTAACAGGTTTCTTTAAATCACTCCTGGTCTAACTTTGCACCTACTTCAGCTTTATCCTAAGTAATCAGATCTGGAAAATCACAAGTTAGCTACACTAATACATATTAATTTCTAATGCACATTAATTTAAACACATGTAAATAAAAATGTTCCTATGTCTGGCATCTAAAATCATCTTGTCTGTCACACTTGGGGAAACTGTGCCATCTCCTTAATTCTCTGGCAATGCTAAGAGTTGTGAAAAATTAGTTTCCTTTGAACAAAAGAGGAAACACAGGCTCAGAGGAGTTAAGCAACCCTCTTAAGGTCACAGGGAATGAGTGGTTAAGCAGGGCTTTAAGTAAGTTATTTTAAATTGGATTTCACCTAGAGAGTTGGGGGGGGTGGCATGCACATTGTCACACCTGAGTCACTTGGCTTGGAGTCCCAGGTATCTCAGGAAGTCTCTGCTGTGCTGATGGGCCCAGCCCCCTCCCGCCTCCCCATCCAGGAGAGCCATCACCTTACCCGGGCCAGGCTGACTCCGGCGGGAACCTTGTAGGGTACATACTTCCTGTAGATATGGCCCACCCTGGAGCAGGGGATGTCCTCCATGCGGCCCCCACACATCCAGACCTGCAGGGCGGGAAGGGAGAGAGAAGATGATATTTCTGCCTCTCATTCACCATTGCCCCCCAAAGGTCGCCTCCTTCCATGCATTCACTGAAAGCATCAGCTTGGACTGTCTGCGAAAGCCCCCATTCACAGAGCGAGGAGGAAAACACAGTAGTAACAACAGTGCTTTTAAATAGCTGACAGCGTTGAGTGCTTACTCATTGCCAAACGCTATGGTACAAGCTCCCCACGCACAACTGCATCTAAGCCTCATCAGAAACCCTATAAAGCGGGTAGTAACGGAGCTCCACTTTACAGAAGAAACCGAGGCTCAGAGAAGCTAAGAGGCTTGTCTAAGGTCGCAGGGTTAGTGAATGGCAGAGCCAGAATTTAAACCCCGCTTCAGCTGACTCCAGCTGAGCAAGTGCAAGTGTGCAGACAGCTGTGTTGCAAACTCTAAGGCGGCAATGGGGGCTCCGTGGGAAAGACCGCGGGGATCGCTTAGTGATGTCTGCCACAGGTATGAGAGGGGAAGAGATGGCACACAGGCTCTGTATATTTACTGACTGTGGCCTCAGGTTCTGGAGTTTTCTCCGAGATCTCTAAGCCTCCTGCTGGGTCACCCTGAGCAGAGACAGCAGCCTCCCTGCCCTGACTTCTCTGCAGTCTGGCTCCCTAAGCCCCGCAGCTGCTATCACTGCGGGGGGGAATCCCAAGTTTCTCCTTGTGTTTCCCTACAGAGCTGGCATCACAAAGAGCTCCTGAGCTTGATGCATGTTGGTCTGATGGCAATTTGGGAATTCTTCCTAAGTACACTGACTCACACCCACTGCGGGGCCCAGGCTAAACGGACCCTCCTCAGCAGTCCTGGCTTCAAATCCTAGCTCAGCCACTTACCAGGTTTGTGACTTTGATCAAGGTACTTAACTTCTCTGAGACTCAGTTTCCTCATCTGTGGAGGATTACATGAAGCAGGCCTTGGGGATGAGATATCGCATGTGAGGCGCTTACTTAGCACAAGGCTTGGCACACGGTCACAGCAGTGACACGCACCACAATGATTCATTCAGACATTTGACTAATATGTATGGAGTATCCACTATATGCTAACCATTGTGCTGGGCACATACAGTGGTGAGTCTGCCAAGGCCCTTGCTCTCATGGACGGTGAGTATGGTGCCCAGCTCCAGGATGGCCCCCAGTGAGCCTGGCCTTCTGGTATTTGCACCTTTAGGCAGTTCCCTCCCAAATGTGTCCCGTGAGGACGGACCCGTGTAACCAACAGAAAAGTGCAGAAATGAAGGTCATAAAAGACACCGTGGCTTCTGCCTTCCTTCCTGGGACCACTTGCTTTGGGGCCCCCAGCTGCCGTGCCGTCAGGACACTCAGGCAGCTCTGTGGAGAGGTCGGGTGGTGAGGAGCTGAGGCCTCCTGTTTATCGTGTGAATGGGCCAGCCACATGAGCGAGCCTCTTGAGAAAGGGATCCTCCAGTCCCAGTCTAGCCCTCAGATGCCGGTGGTCCTGGCTGACACCTTGACTGCAGCCTCGTGACAGACCCGAGCAGAACTGTCCAGCTAAATCACTACTAACTCCCTGAGCCACACAAATCTTGCGATACTTTTACTGCGGCTTTAGGAGGGTATATTGGAGGTATGGGGTATTCTTTTCCTGTGGCAGTAGATAACTAACACAAAGGCAGTTTCAGATAGTGATATGTGCTATAAGGGAGCCAAAGCAAGGCCAGACTCACTGTATGGATCTATGGATCTACGAGAGGTTCCGTTACACCGGTGAGGGAAATCCTCACTTCAAAGGGAATATTAGATACGAGACTTAAATAATGAGAAGGTAAAAGTAACATAAAGATCCGAGGGGTGAGAGAACAGGCGGAGAGAGGAGCAAGTGAAAAGGCCCTGAGGTAGGGCGAGGCTTGGCTTAATCACTGAACAGAGAAAGCCAGAGGCCTGGAGCAGAAGCGGAGATCGGAGGGGAGGTCAGAGAGGTGAGCAGGGACAATCATGAGGGTCTCACAGCGCAAAACCAAGAGTCTTCAGCAGAAGTGTTTAGTGAGGGTAACAGTATGATCCAATTTCTATTTCACCAAGATGACTCTGCCTGTGGGGTGGAGAATGGGCTAGGGCGCAGGGAGGGCCTGGGAGGCTCTTGCAGATAGAGGCAGTCAGGCTTCGGTTTTGTGGACGCTGTGGTGATGTAGGACTCAACTGTACTTGGGCCGTTACATGTATATACATTTTTAAAATAGGCTCCACGCCCAGTGCGGAGCCCAATGCAGGGCTTGAACTCATGACCCTGAGATCAAGAGTCGGTTGCTCAGGCGCCTCTCAGGCATTATTATTAATGTTATTCCCCTATTTCCTTGTTTATGAATGAGGAGCAGGAGTGGGAATATCTGCAACCCTGATTCTGTGCAAAAGAGTATTTTCCAGCTTGTGCGGCTCAATGGGAGAGTGGGGATCTGGCTTCATGTCTTAATTATTTCACAGGCTCTAGAAGGGCTGCTTTTCCATCTCATGCACCTGGGTGTCCTCAGTCCCTCATTACCCTCCGCTAGCCACTGTCTCCAACCACCCCGGATGTACTGCACCCCAGGCTTCCTGCAAGGGGATACGTATGCATGGGGCGGCAATTAGTAGAAGTGCTGCCTGGAGAAATGCAATTATAGTCTGATCTTGGGGGAGAAAAAAAAATTGAGCAAGTCAATAGAACAGAACATTGGTCTTGAGATAATGGGCTCCTGATGGTAGATTAATGTCAAGGCCAAGCCAAGAAGTTTATTTTCAAAGCAGGAGATATTGATCAGGCGCCAGCATCCCATAACAATAACTCTTCCTTTATACAAAATGACTGATGTGGAAGTGATGCTTTTGTCTGGCGGATATTGCCCAGCTCGGCGCTGGGCTGCCCCTGCCTTACGGAAGGCAGAGTGGCACTGAGGAGGTGGGGGATACGTTACCCCGCTCTATTTTTGACTGTCTCCTGGGCAGTTGACTAGGCCGGCGTCCACCTCCCCGGACTCCATATTAAGCTCACATTAGCTAACAAGGATGAGTCTCCAGCTCTGCCTGGCAGGGAACCTTCCTTTATGTAGACAACAATCAATCTCCAAATCCTTTTCTTCGCTGTGACCTCTGGTTTCTTTGGCCCTGACCACATTGGCCATCAGCCTGAAGGTTCCTGAAGGACCAGGATGCCCTTGATCTGCTGAGAGGTTTGAGGCATCCAAAACATCCTCAGACTTCCAGGATGTCCGGAGCCCAGAAGGAGTCCTGGTTTGGGATGACGGGTTTACTCCTCAGCTTCCCTGCCCTGAACAATGATCCACTGACAGCTGACTCAGAATGGGAACTGCCTTCAGACACACAGATACCCGTTCAGCTGAAGCTGCTGCCAACTCCCGAGTCCTCTGGGAGCACCTGAACAGCCTGGAAAGGGCCCAATGCAGGGCACACCCAACTCTTCACAAATCCCTCTAGCATCTTCCACAGTGGTCAGCACCTCTGTGGTGCTCACTGGTCATCTGGCAGGATCCCAAGACTGGAGGGGACTCTCCCTCCAGGAACAGGACAAAAGCTGGAGGCACAGAACGGGGTCCTGACTTGCCCCGGGCTGGGGTGTGGCCAGAGGGGGTCTTGATCCCAGGTCCCATGGTTCTGCTCACGGCCCTGGTCCCGCGTCTGTGTACTGTTAGGGCCCTCTCCCGCCTTCCTTCACAGCCGAGGCAGCTGCCCTTGAGACCCAGGACAGCCATGGCACGGGGGCTCTGAGCACACCCCCCCATTCCCAATGCCACCTCGTGTGGCCCTGTGGCTACGACGCCCTCACCCCGGGAGCCTCAGTCTCCTGTGACCTGGGCATGACGGTTCACCGCTACCTTGCAAGGCCGCTCACGTGGCATGAGACAGTCGTGAAAAGCACTTAGCTTGATGCCTGGCCGTAGCAGACTTGACCACGTTCATCATTTCTGTTTGCAAAAGAACGGGAAACACCACCAGCTTGAAATGATACAGCATCTGCCCCATCATGGTTTTTATCCTATGGCCTGATTTCTGAAACGGAGAAACTGAGGCTCAGAGACATGAAGTGGTTTTTCTGACTTGGTGGCAGACCTGCAGCTGACGGGAATGACAGGGCCAGGTGGGGCTGGCACAGGCATGGGGCACCACTGGGGGCCCAGCTGCCCCAGGTGCTCGTCTCTCCCCTAGGTAACACACTGGCAGGACACTCCAGCTGGTGGCAAAGAGAAGGGGGGGGCGCAGCCAGAAGCAGCCACACCACGTGTGGCTGGGACCCCCTCCTAGTTGGATGTGGACACACACAGACCACCGAGATGAGGTATTTGCAACCCCTCTCTGCCGTCGGCTTCCTTCCCTCCCTCCCTGTGCAGCCCCTCGCCAATCTCCACACCCATGGGGCACGCGGCTGCCTGCTCTACATGAGGAGTGTGCAACCCCCTCCACCGCCCCATCAGCTTGTTTCTTGGTGCCTTTCTCCCCTGCAGAACAGCCTTCTCACTTCTCGTGGAAGCACCATGCCACTAGACAAGTACAAATCTAATTGCAAAAGCTTGCTCCCCATTCATTTTCCTTACTGCTTTGATTTATTTTATTAGCAAACTTCTTTTGTGTGATGACAGGCTTCATTACAGTGTCTATAAAAGACAATTACTTGCTCTTATCTCCTAAACTGAGGGGGGAAGAAACAAGTGGTGATGTGCATCAGGAAGACACACGGGGGCCCAGAGAGCGCGTGGCAGAAGGGCCCGTCCTGTTGGGGGAGCCTCCCTCTGTCGAGGACACGACTACCTGGGTGCCACCGAGCCTGGCCATCCAACTGCCAATGGCCGGGAGAAGGTGACAGCCAGCCACAGCTTCTGCTCTTGGAACCTCAGCTGAGGACCCCTGTGGAGTTCAAACCCTATTTAGTTGCACTTGGGGTAAATAATAATAATTATCACCAGTTCTTCTACATTGTCTGTGTGCTCAGGAGGTACCCGGGGTTG